ATTGTACCCATGTGGGGAATCGAGCCAGGGTCTTCGTCGTGACAAACGAACGCCTTCACCACTAGGCTACCCCACCGCCCCATGATTTGAAGGAAGGAGTTGGAATAGATGAATTACAGTTTAGGGGCACTCGTTTGATGTACAATAGGAATACAAAATATCATTGTTGAAAGTGTATTTCAGTATTCATTTTAGCTCAATTACACATTCAACAGTGATATTTTTCAGCTTTCATTTTAGCTGAATTTATTCATTTGGTGACAGTAATGGTTTTTAGTTGTCGTTGAACATACTTTCACTTGCAGTTGGTTCCGATATGTGATCTAACACAGTCTGTACTTTTTGTTCCTTGGTTATAATTAGCCCGTCCATGCTAATCAAGGCATACATATTTTGATATAAACCCAATAAGGTGGTTTTGTTTGCTTCACAAGCAGTGAGACGGCAACGGCACCTTATGTCATAGATGGTAAGACACGTTGCTATATTTTATGGCGTTTCTGAAAGATGTTTTTACCTAAGCGCATTTCCTGGGATTGTAATGGTGTAACAGTGACCTGAAAAACTATACTAATTACGGTTTGTGATATCTGGCTATATCCAGTTTGATTTATATGTTCACTGGCCAAGATGCATCATACGTTGTAAATAGCAAATGGCAACGTATAATGCTATAAATTGTACTTTCACTTTTTAATAGCTTTAACTATATTAATATATCTTCCTGTTCAATTATTTTAATTGTACACGAAAATGATATGTATTGTTTCACAGAGTTGTTAAAATTGATTCCAAGTTACCATAAAACGGATTTCCAGCCCTTTAAGGGGCGGTGGGGTAGCCTAGTGGTTAAAGCGTTCGCTCGTCACGCCGAAGAACAGGGTTTGATTCCCCACATGGGTGAAGCCCATTTCGGGTGTCCCCCGCCGTAATATTGCTTGAATCTTGCTAAAAGCGGCGTAAAATCCAACTCGCTCACTCACTCACTCACATACTCCAGCCCTATACGGAATTGTACTAGAGTAAGCGCCATTCCCATTACTGTGAGTGAAATGAGTCGGGTACTCGTCTTCAAACCTCAAAATACCCTATCTAAATGAGACACATCACAAACCATCGAATTTAGATAAGTGTACTTGAGATTGCCTGGGAGCCCCATGTCACGTTAACCTCCACAGACGTCAGCAACAGGCACGTGACGTCAAACAAAAAGCATGTACTTGAGGATGGTTGCGAGGTAAACACAATTAGTTCTGTAAAGAACAATAGAATGCTACTGAGGACATTGAATAGCACAGGTCCAGGGATTAAGTGGACAACTTTTGTGGTTAATTGGAATGCATGGGAATGGTTATACAGCCATCAAGCTACAACAAGCTGCCGTGCTGTACAGAGAAGCAGCATGGTGCACTGCAGCTAACTACAGACAGGGCACACTTGTACCTAAGTAGCTGCTTCAATTCACATGTCTTAACAAATGGGAGTTAGTGAGAGAGGTTTTACGCCAGTTGGAAACGTTATCAATTATATCAAGGCGTGGCAGCATATTGTCGTAAAAGACCAGATGAGTTTACTATGAGATACTGTCCTATTGGGGAAATGATTCAGACATAATCTGATACAACGGAGTTGTGTAAGATAATCCTTTGTCCCTTTTCTGTCATCACCTCAGTTCGTGTCTGTGAGATAATTTGGGGATGCACAGTTCGAACAAGTAAGCAATGGTTAGCAATGGGTTACAGTTTTCTCGGACGTTCTTTCTTCCCACTTGGAGCTACAATCTAAGCCTCAGATCCCCCCGTGCCACTGAAGCGCTGACATTATTTAATCACAATCAGCGACCCAGGCTATTCGCTCACACACATGGCGACGGGATAAACCCAGGCTATTCCCTCACACACATGACGGGATAAACCCAGGCTATTCCCTCACACATGGCATAAACCCAGGCTATTCCCTCACATACATGGCGGGATAAACCCAGGCTATTCCCTCACACACACATATAAACATGGCGGGATAAACGCAGGCTATTCCCTCACATACATGGCGGATAAACGCAGGCTATTCCCTCAAACCTATTCCCATACATGGCGGGATAAACGCAGGCTATTCCCTCACATACATGGCGGGATAAACGCAGGCTATTCGCTCACATACATGGCGGGATAAACCCAGGCAGGCTATTCCCTCACATACATGGCGGGATAAACGCAGGCTATTCACATACATGGCGGGATAAACGCAGGCTATTCCTCACATACATGGCGGGATAAACGCAGGCTATTCGCTCACATACATGGCGGGATAAACGCAGGCTATTCCCTCACACACATGGCGGGATAAACCCAGGCTATTCCCTCACATACATGGCGGGATAAACGCAGGCTATTCCCTCACATACATGACGGGATAAACCCAGGCTATTCCCTCACATACATGGCGGGATAAACCCAGGCTATTCCTCACACACATGACGCAGGCTATTCCCTCACATACATGACGGGATAAACCCAGGCTATTCCCTCACATACATGGCGGGATAAACGCAGGCTATTCCCTCACATACATGGCGGGATAAACCCAGGCTATTCCCTCACATACATGGCGGGATAAACGCAGGCTATTCCCTCACATACATGGCGGCGGGATAAACGCAGGCTATTCCCTCACACACATGGCGGATAAACGCATTCATGGGCGGGATAAACGCAGGCTATTCCCTCACACACACATGGCGGGATAAACGCAGGCTATTCCCACATGGCGGGATAAACGCAGGCTGGCTATTCCCCACACACATGGCGGGATAAACGCAGGCTATTCGCTCACATACATGGCGGGATAAACGCAGGCTATTCCCTCACATACATGGCGGGATAAACGCAGGCTATTCCCTCACATACATGGCGGGATAAACCCAGGCTATTCCCTCACACATGGCGGGATAAACGCAGGCTATTCCCTCACACATGGCGGGATAAACAGGCTATTCCCTCACACACATGGCGGGATAAACCCAGGCTATTCCTCACATACATGGCGGGATAAACGCAGGCTATTCCCACACACATGGCGGGATAAACATGGCGGGATAAACCCAGGCTATTCCCTCACATACATGGCGGGATAAACGCAGGCTATTCCCTCACACACATGGCGGGATAAACGCATTCCCTCACGGGGATAAACGCAGGCTATTCCCTCACACACATGGCGGGATAAACCCAGGCTATTCCCTCACATACATGGCGGGATAAACCCAGGCTATTCCCTCACATACATGGCGGGATAAACCCAGGCTATTCCCTCACATACATGGCGGGATAAACGCAGGCTATTCCCTCACATACATGGCGGGATAAACCCAGGCTATTCCCTCACATACATGGCGGGATAAACCCAGGCTATTCCCTCACATACATGGCGGGATAAACCCAGGCTATTCCCTCACATACATGACGGGATAAACCCAGGCTATTCGCTCACATACATGGCGGGATAAACCCAGGCTATTCCCTCACATACATGACGGGATAAACCCAGGCTATTCCCTCACATACATGACGGATAAACCCAGGCTATTCCCTCATACATGGCGGGATAAACCCAGGCTATTCCCTTACACAGACATGACGGGACGGGATAAACCCAGGCTATTCCCTCACATACATGACGGGATAAACCCAGGCTATTCCCTCACATATATGACGGGATAAACGCTGTCCTTTCTGAACATGATCGATAACCTTTGTTGAAAGCAGACCGTGAAGTAACTCGTACCCACCCCCACGTTGGGTCGGCGATGGCAATGATACAACTGCATACACAACACATATATATGCAGAAAGGAATACACATACAAGTGACATGAGAGGTAAAATAATGTTTAGAATTGAAAAGGTCACTAGTCACTCATATCGAACACACAACAATTACACACCTGGACACATCCAGGTACGTGAATCACTCATTTTTAACACACAACACTTGCACACCTGCACACATCCAGGTACGTGAATCACTCATTTCAAACACACACTACTTACACACCAGGGCCTAGATTTCGAAGCTCTCTTAGCGCTAAGATAGTCGTAAGTTAATGTTAATGCATGGCACTTACGACTATCTTAGTGCTAAGAGAGCTTCGAAAATCTAGGCCCTGCACTCACCCGGGTATATCAATCACTTGTATCAAACACACAACACTCACACTTTCATATTAACTAATATTACAATTTAATACCTTTAAGTAGAGATAATCACAGGAAATTATTGAATTTCATATACAGCTTCAAAAATACACCGAATGCATCATGTTTCGAATAAACCAAATTGTCTACGATACTCACACGCATACACATAACCATTAATCACTAGTATGTTGTAACAGGTATCGAAGTCACGCTAGTTACCGTGGGTGAAGATGCATTGCTGAATGCCTATATAGAGAATACTACACGAGGAGCGAGGTCAGATAACATAGGAAGGTCACGAGTTTCGTATAATTCGTATGTAATGAGACCGAGTGTGGTATTTTATTTATTACCCACGTCTTACATGCATTTAAATTGACAAAATAGCGTATTTTTGTTATGTTTTTGGTTTCAAACCGAAACCGGTTTGATAAAGAGGTTGCGGAAGAGTTTTGTACTGTAGTACAATATTTGCATGACGTCACACTAATGACGTCACTGCCATGGTAACCGACGTCACGATGCATGCCAGTTGTCATCGCCTCGTACAGCCTCCTACAGTAAACTACTCCGTTGCAACTCGTTTCTTGGTTTCCAGTTGCTTCATTCGGCTAACATCACTGGTGGAAACATTGCGTTTATGTTTTTCGACAGATAAAATGTCTCAGTTCGACTCACAATTAAACAGCGACACGGCAACGTTCGCAATGTTTACATTCCCACAATGCATTTAAGTTGTAGAATGAATGAATTCACGTGTTTGTTATGAATGAAAAAATAGTTACGTCAGAATGTGACCTAATAGGGGGTGTAAGTCTCGCGCATTCTCATTTCCGGTGTCCAACTTCCGGTGACAAACAAACCAATCGGAGGACCGGTTATACAAAGCAGTTGCGCTACGCCACATACGTTCCTATTCGCCCGCCAATGAGACTGTTGCCAAGTCGTTCTAACCGCGGGAAATTTCTAACGGTAAAAGCATGGTTATTTGTTTCGTGTTTGGGTGTAATCACCGAAGCAATAGGGATTCCTGCAGCTTTTTCAGGTTTCCGGACAATAAACGAAGCCTATGGGGTCGTCTGTCAAGGTAAGACTACCAGAGTAAACGGGTTTAGCAGGTTTTTTTCGGACATGTCCGTAGTGGAGTCATCTCAGACCCCTACTGCCGTGCTGACTAAAACGCCTACAGAAATTATGCTGTAAAATGTTCATGTATTAACACATATGTAGTTGGTCAGTTAATGGATAATTCGGGCCCGATAATTCTTTGTGAATAATTCGAATTAAAATGTAAAATACTGCAGTACTAAATTGACTCTTGAGGTTTGATTTTCACACAATGTCATGGATCTCGTGTAGTGAGGCCATACAACATATGCTATTGGAAGTATTTCAACCTTTATAATGGATAGGCTTAATCGGTTTTAATTGTTATTTTAAATTATTTTGTAATTTCAGAAGGCTCGACAGATACCCAACATCCGAGAATGACAGGATTTGTTCATGTCATTTTGAAGGTGGCACAAAGGATGGTGATCCCATATTTTTCCCCCACAACAAAGGAAAACTGTTTCAGTTCAAGGATCCCAAACCACAGAGGTATAATGTTTTGCAGTTAATACATACATTTGCAATTTAAATGAGTAATCTATAATTAAATTTGTATTTATATTTAGGGTATATATTTATGATTATTATTTATTTTTCCTACAGAAAAAGGAGTGTGCCTTTGGAGTGCAGTGATGTACCGGCAATCCCACTGGCTCAGAGTCCTGATGTCCAAGCTGAACCTGAACACAATGGAAGGACGGATGTAGTAAGTATTTTTCATGTCAGTATAAATCAATGTTTGTTTAAAAAACATATAGCACATTATGCACACTTATGTCATTATTTTCTACTTCTCTAAATCTTTGTGCTGAATTTATTGTTCCAATACCAATATTTGTACCATAGGTGATGGAACATGGTTACGCCATACAGTGTGGAGACCAGTGTGTGGGGAAGCTGACTTCGTTAACCACTGAAGTCCAAGACTTGAAGGCCACAATCAAGTCCCTAGAGCAGGAAATCCACTCCTTAAACCTAAGGCGTTCAACCTTTTCTATCAACGATATAAGTGGCAGTGAAGAAAAGGTTGGTTAACAAATAACAGATTTTAACAGCAAAAACAAATGTATATAATAATTTTGTTTTACTTTCTCATTTATCTCTACCCCTTGGCCATTACAAAATTTAAAATAATGGGAACTTAAGTCACTTGTCATTCCCCTGTACACATAAAACAACACTCAAAATGTATAATACCTATTCTTATTAAAGGAGGGCTTTCAGGTGTGCTAATAATATTGTTGCCACTACAATTAAGTTAACAATGTATGTTAAATGCAACCGCAACAATCTAAGTAAACCTCAAATATGTTTATGAGTGTTGGTGTGTGTGTGTTGAGAGGAGGACTGGGCGCTAAATATTTTGAAGTACTGGTATTAATTTGAATGTGTGTTTACAGATGCTACTCTACACAAGCATACCCTATGATGTCTTCGAGATCATCTGCTCCATGCTGGAACGCTTCGACCTCAACTACTATGCTGGATGGAAACCATCAATTGTATCCTTGGAAAATCAGCTTTTGCTAACTCTCATGAAACTTACCATGAACAGCAAAGATCTCGATTTGGCACAAAGATTTCAAATCAGTCGTGCTACGGTGTCCAATATCTTCAATACCCTCATCCATGCTTTACATGAACTCTTTTCAGGTGTTATGGATAACTACATGCCCAGTCAGACTAAGTGTAAAGGCAGCATGCCCAAGTCTTTTGAAGATTTTGGTAGTGCTAGGGCATCTATCGATGCTATAGAGATGTCTCAGGATATCCCCAAAGACCTTGACTGTCAAAATAGAGTGTACAGCAACTACAAGTCCCGCCATACTGTTAAAGCTGTGACAGCTGTGGCACCTAATGGCGCTCTAACATATTGCACCAGTCTGTATCCTGGGTCAACATCAGATGTAGCTATTGTTAGCCATTCAAATATGTTGTCTTCTTTCAAACCAGGTGATCTTATTTTAGCTGATAAGGGTTTTACTATTCATGAAATGTTGCCACCAGGTGTAAGTTTAAATATCCCTCCATTTCTGTCAGGTAAGTCTGTTTTCACAAAAGAGGAAGGTAAAATGTGTTACAAGATTGCAAGAGCCAGGATACACGTAGAAAGGGCGAATGAGCGCATTAAAAACTTTGATATTCTAAACCACATTCCTGCAATTTATCGCCCTATCTCAAGTAAGATTTTTCAGGTTTGCTGTTTTTTGATAAATTTGCAAGCTCCATTACTCAAAGAAATAAATAAAGATTGAACATTAACAAGTATCACTATCCTTTGAAAGAACAAGAACACAAAAGATCAATCTGAAGTTTATTTTAATATATATTTCACAACTGCAAATATTCAAGTATTTTCATCAATGTATTTCTGAAATCTGCATAAATCAGCCATCTTTTTCCATTGATATAGGTGAGGTGTTTCAAGTTGACTCCTGCTGGCAACATTGCCTGGTTGCCTACCACTAGGGATGGGACGAGGAATCCCTGCCACTAGCTCTTAAGCTGAGTACCTTATTTGTCTAAAATTATCAGATAACAAGTTCAAAATGAATGACATTTTAATAAAACAAATTCACAAAATCCACTATAATGAAGCAATTTTTTGTATGATATATTCAGGGCATGATTCATGTAAACAAGTGTCTTAAGTAAACAATATTAAATGTAATTGGTTCAGAGAGAGTCTATGTGCCTATTACCGGCCTATTCACATATTGATATGGTACATATATTAAAATCACACCATAACTTAAGGCCATTACATGTGTATGAAAAACCTAAGGATACATCTAAATCATGATAACCCTTTCATAATTTCCAGACATTTACATATAAAATGAAATACTCATGAAAATTCTGGAAACACATAATGAAACGCTTGGAGTACATTGTGTGTTATCTCTTCCCTCCATATGTAATAACATATTTTGAATATTAACATACTTTAATTAGATTGTAACATACTAAAAGTGTATTTTCATTTCAGGAACACTGTGGACACGCTCAAGACACAATACAACAAGATGTCGAATGTATATTATTTTTACAATGTGTCCTGTACAGATACTAATGAAAATAACTTTTTAAACATAATGGATGACTGATTTTCTCACCAAACATTTGTACATTTTTATAGCTAAGTTGTAAAATGAGATCACTTGTAAATAAATACATGGACTGTGGATAAGCACTGAGTACTATTTGTGGTTGGGCATCTGATAAAGATATGTTCAGTTACAGTTTCGCGTAAAAATATATAAGTTGATACACGTTACAATGGAAGTTGAAATTTACAATTGACAAACTGTACAAGATTCAAATACAGCCATACCTATTGGTTCAGACAAGTTTGTTTCATGATCAACTTACACCATGCCCTAAACAATTAACCATTTAATACAGGTGTTTGGGATCAACCTACCCCTAGGGTATCCAATAACTGTCATGGTGCGTCATGTATCCACAACTCATGCTTCTTGCATGAAGCCCATGGGTGGTTAACCCGAAACAAAAATGTGTCGGGATAATAATTAAAGGCATTGTTTAAGTTGATACTGAGACAAACTGGTCTGAATTTTACAACAAATCACATGTGGCGGTGGGGTAGTCTAGTGGTTAATGCGTTGGCCTGTCATGCCGAAGACCCGGGTTCGAATCCCCACATGGGTACAATGAGTGAAGCCCATTTCTGGTGTCCCCCGCCGTGATATTGCTGGAATATTGCTAAAAGCGGCGTAAAACCAAACTCAGTCAGTCAGTACAACAAATCATCAATTGCACACTAAAAGAACATAGTCTCTTTTTCAAAATGTCAGCGTTGTTGTCACCATTCACAATATCTCCATATAGCCATGCTGAAATAAAAAGAAATTTATAATTATAACTTAATGTGGTCATGGGAGATTATTTAATCATGTAACAAAGTTCATCTTGTTCATAAGACAAACCATGAAGAATTGTTTCAGAAGGCATAAAGTAAGTGAACATCTTTTATAAGCCAGAAAATCCAACAGTAATCAATACATTTAAAAAGGGCTACCTAGTTACTGCAAAACGTTTCTTATAAACAAATGATTGTCAGTTAGTAGCCTATTATTGTCTTATCATTCTTTACTATGTTCATACAAGGCACTGGTGTGTTTGAAGTGTAATGAAGGCTGCAATATTTTCATGAAACTCTTAAACATACTTCAAATACAAACGACACAAAAGCTTCATATTACTATAAGATATATGTAACATGATGGAAACAAGTTGAATACTCAGCTTCGTGTTGCTGTTTATGTTGTGGTGAACAGTCCACTGGTGATCCAGAGCCGATCCTTGGGGTGCTGATACCTTGTTTCAGGATAGCCTTGATCCTTCTTCATATCCTCTGCAGTCACTTGGTCTTCTGTTGACTAGCTACCCACACTAAGACAATATGGTTGGAAAGTACTTGTCATAAAAGAAATCTATCAGCTTTGAGATATTTGAAGCCCATTCTGGATCCCGGTATATTCTGTGTATGAGAAGTCCACGGGGTGTCCAAATGAGGAGGTCACAGCATGTCTTCCCCATGATGTACAGTTGGCCTTGGATCTGATGGTAGTATTCATGGTCATTTGGCAAAGTAATTCTCCCATCAGTTCTGACTGCAAAGCAATATCATTTCAATAAGTAACATACCATTTCAATAACAGAATCTTGAGTGTATCTTTATACTATTTTCCAATAACTTAAAAAAAACTAAACTTTGATGTTCTTGTTTTTGGCATGTAATTTGACATATTCTATATCAACTGGTAATACACTGAAGTGGTATTTGTAATTTCACAGTACTAAACAAACTTTAAACTTCTGTTAATACCTAAGCAAAAATTCTTTTGACCAATGGCATCCAACGGTGGCTTGTCTCTGGCAGAAAATGGACACTTAACTTCGATGATGTCTGGTGGTGGTGTTGCAGACTGTGGAATTGGGGTTAGCACAATTCCATCTGGGGAAGCGCCGAGAATTCCTGATTCGTGAAGCCATATGCCTACAACGATGCATGTAACATAAGAAAGAAAATCCAGCAACCAAATTGTTTCTCATTACACTTTGTTTTTCATTTTTTAAAAGGCAACAATATCACGCCACACATCTCTACAAAGTACATAATGCATTTCTCTCAATAATACTATCAATCCCCAAGGAAGCTACCATATAATTTATTCCAATTAAAATTACGTATTTAGATTACAATATTACAATAAAAAGTTGGTCGAACATTATTTCATGCGAATCGCGTAGAATTACCTCCCTTCGTCCCTTGGAGCACTCTTCATGAATATTGTAAAATTCAACTTGTGATTGAAACCAGTTCACTGACAACACCACGTGTATATATATACCTACCTGTTTCTTCAACCTTAGCCCCAAGTTTATGATATTGGTCAATAGCGTTCCTTTCATGGTTGATCCCCCAAGCAATTGAGTCCTTCTTCTCCAAGTTGTAAGGGGAACTGAGGCGTTTCCAAAATGAAGGTGGGTAGCTGAAAAATTAAAATGATACTTGTACAACTAAAAAATCATGCAATGTATGAACTTGATAAATGTAATGCTCCTTTCATGCTTTTTCACTTCAAACATGTAATGCATGTAATCCCAAATTACCCCAAAAAGGTCATCAATTACATAATGAATGAATATATAATTTAAATTAATAAACCAATTCACACAATATGAATAAAATCAACAAAGTAACAAAACATTACGTACCTGTTTCTTTGGATAGCTCTCAAAATGAATCCAAAGTTTGATGAAGTAATCCTGTGTCTACGTACGATAGACCACATAGGATTGCTTCGCTGGCCTGAGGTAGCTGATGCTATGGTCTTCACTTTCTCTGGTGAAAGGAGAAGGGTCTTAGCCAGAAATGTCCTCTTACACAACGCTTGGATATATCCTGCACTCATAATAACATCCTCAACAGGAACAACGCATGGATCTTCTTTCTTTGGCTCTGGTGAGAGTATCCATTGCAAAGCTGAAAGGGGGAAATGAAATTAATAAATGTGGACTTTCACTTAAAACTGGTAGATGTTAGTTGATAACAAAGGAATACTTCCGACTTGTTAAATCTTGTTCATGTTAATTGTTATCATTAAGTATAATAGTTGCAATTATGATTAGGCCTTAAAAAAAAGCTTGTTCCGATTTCCCGACCGACCCTAAATATTCCTGCCGAGCCTAACAATTTTACTCACCACATAATAAATTAAATTTATTTTCTGACACATGAGTAATGTAAAAATATTTTGAAAAAAACAAAAAAAAACTACCTGCCTACCCTAGTTCTGAAATGTAGGAAATCGGAACATTTTTTTGGTTTTTTTGGTTTTTTTGGTTTGGCCTTACGCTCCTTTCAATTATCTCCAAACAAAACTCAGTTGTTACATTAAATAATTGTGGTCTTTGATTTGAAGCAAAAACAACAGCAAAAAACATGAAGAAATCTTTCCCAATTCTAACATGAAAGTGATAAGAACAAATAAGAAAAACAACAGGTAAAATTCATTCACAATTAAAAAATATTATAACATCAGAATAAAAGGAGAAACATCAAACAGTAATATAACACAACACAAATTTGAGGAGACTAATAACCAGTAAATCTTCCAAGCTTCTCCAGTTCACTACATAACTGGTCTCGATCTTCTTGAGTAACCTCTCTATTTAGTGCTCTGTTTAGATAAACAAAAGTAACAGGAAAACATTACTATATCAGATATTTTCATTTACAAACAGCACATGAGTTGTCACTGAGGTAACTGAAAAACATACTAGTCTACTGGATAAAATTGTAAGATTTGGACATTATTGTAACGTTTTCCATGTGGAAATATGTTGGTTTTAGTTACCTGTATCCTGGTTTTCTTGGAGGAAACAGGTCCTCCATAGTTGCAGTGTCAGCCCTCATCTTAGACTTTGGTTTTTTCAGCCAGCTGCACTTAACATCTGTCTTGCTTGCACGCTTGTAACTACCAAGTAAAAGTGAAAACAACAACTCTAAGAAATAATCTGAATTATTTTTTTTGTTGTTTACATGTCATTATGACAGCTAAAACTTGATTGATATAAATGCTTAAGTTCATAAAAATATAAACGGTACACCCGAATTTAATAATGGTTCTGTCACTTTCAGCTTGATATAGGCTTTCACAAGTAATATAACTGGTATATTTTTCAGCAAATATTATTGAAAATACTGCACCATTTAAAAGAAATATTCTTGACAAATGAACACACATAAATTCAATCACTCACCCAAACAGGAGAACAGCGGCGACATGGTGGCAATAGAAATTACCCATTGGACAATCACACCTGGTCACGTCCGTCCCATAGAGGTCATTTAGTTCAATCTGTAAGTAAACAGTGTACAGTTGGCTTTTGTATTCTCGAAATTATTGGTTTCTACAGACAGACACACGGAACTTATACCTTCTTGATTTCCAAATGAATACTTTTACAACACATTTCATACATAATAATATTCGTATTTCGCGCCCAAAATTTAAAGCACTGACCTGCACTCGGTAGGATTTGTCCTTCATTGACGCTTGAACATGGCCTTCTATGTGTCCAAGCTCTGGGTCATATAAAAAACCTAAGTACCCGATCGCAGCTCACAGAATTTTCGGACTTGCGAATCAATTTTGGCCTGTCTGAAGTGTAATTCACCCAGTACATAATGGAGAGCGCCATTGCTGAAAACTTTGTTTGTCACCGGAAGTCACGAAATCTCGCGATGCGCAGGATTCACTTACACGCCCTATAGAGGGCTTCGGGCTTTTCTACATTTCCCACAATGCATTCCCGGCGGCCATTTTGGAAGGCTTTGTTTACGCAGCTCATTGTTGTTGATCATTCATCCAGAGATAATGCCGACTACGTGTGCTATTGTTAACTGCAACAGTCGGGGTGGGAGAGATAAAAAGAGCTTTTATCGCATTCCTAAAGTTATTTCTGGACAGGGGGAAGCAGCAGAAAAGAAGAGTGAACGGCGAAGGAGAGCATGGATTGCTGCAATCAACCGATCCGATGTGACGTGTTACGAACAGCTTCGTGTTTGTTCGGATCATTTCATTTCAGGTAAGCTATATAATTAACATTTTGTAGGTACATACGAATCTAAAATCTTCACAATTCAAAGCCTCATTTCATATTGAATTGATGTGCTAGGTCGAGGTCGAGGGTCAGTCTTGGTAGTAGGCAGCCATGAACACTAAATGTTCGTAGGGTATGCAGTATATCATGTAAAGTTGATATTAGTACGAACTTATTTATTATGAATTCAGTGTCTATTGTTGTTTTATCAGAAAAATAGTAACATATTTTTTTTATGGTTTATTTAGTATCCTGTTTCAAAGCACAATGTGGAAACAGTATAAATTGATATTGAATCATGAGTTAACTTAATTGTCTTCTTAGAAATCTTGCATGTAGAGAATTTTACAGACAGATAAACTGTAAGTAATGACATTGTGTATTGTGTAATGAATAATTCATATATTTTCAGGAAAACCAGATCAATATGATGAATCACATCCAGACTGGGCTCCTAGCAAGCATCTAGGCTATGAAGGGACAAAGTCACCAAGTAAAGCAGCAGTACGCCACGAAAGACTGCAAAACAGAAAGGAAGCTGCTAAGAAAACAGAAGCTGCTCTTAGTTTACTTGAACTTAGTGCATACAGAGATCTGACAGAGATTTGGCTGAACCCACCCCTGAGTCACCTACTGTTGAAGAGGAACCAACCGACACAGAGAAGCTGGAGCTAGCTAATCAAGAAATAAGTGAATTAAAACAGGAAAATATGCAGCTGAGAGAACAAAACGAGTGTTTAAAGAACATTGTACACAAAATGAAGGCCAATTCACCAGAGGACTTTGAAGATGACAATGAAAAAGTGAAGTATTATACTGGATTGCCAAGTTTTGTAACTCTTATGGCACTTACTCATCTTTTGGCCCCTGACATGACAGAAAACAGAAATTCATCTCTCAGCAAATTTCAGAAGATAATCATAACCCTAATGAGACTTAGACTAAATTTGCCCATCAAAGACTTGAGTTATCGTTTTGGTGTATCTAAAGCTACATTATCCAAGGCTTTCTTAGATACTTTGAACTTAATGTATGTGGCATTACAACCTTTAGTGCGTTGGCCTGATCGTGATGAACTAAGGGAAACAATGCCGATGGTGTTTCGTAAATACTTTGGAAGGAGAGTCACATGCATTATCGACTGCTTTGAGATTTTCACTGATCGACCATCCAACATGACTGCAAGGGCACAGACCTGGTCCAACTACAAGCACCACAACACAGCCAAGTATTTGATAGGAATTACTCCTCAGGGAAGTGTAAGCTTCATATCGGAGGGCTGGGGAGGACGAGTAAGTGACAAACATCTAACAGCCAACTGCAAATTCCTAGACAATCTAATGAATGGAGATTTGATACTAGCAGATCGGGGATTTGACATCCAGGAAGTGGTTGCATTGGTTGGAGCCGAAGTTAAATTTCCATCTTTTATGAGAGGAAAACAACAGCTGAGTGCTACAAAAGTTGAGTCAACAAGAAAAATAGCTAATGTGAGGATTCATGTGGAAAGGGTCATTGGAACTGTGCGTCAGAAGTTCATGATTCTTGGAGCGACGAGTCCGATTGATTACCTCATTTCGAAAGCTGGTGACAAGTGTGCAATTCTTGATAAAATTGTGTTTGTATGCTGTGCTCTTACCAACATGTGCCCCTCTGTTGTGCCATTTGACTGACATTAACAGCTATCAACATGTGTCCTGTTGTGCCATTTCTCCAACATTAACATTCACATATTAAATTTCCATTAACTTTTATCTTGAGTTATTATTCATTGGCTACTGGTATGTTAAGCCATTAAAAAAATGAAGAAAAAAAAAAAAAAAAAAAAAAAAACAAGATAAAAAACATGTCTGCAGTTTATCCATTCTGTGTTAGGTTTAATCACAGTATTGGATAACCCAAGCTGCACTGATGAGCCCTGGGAGGGCGAAACATGTTAAATTTTCTGATTGAATCATATGATTTTAGACTACAGAAAATCTTTTTGTAAACACATTTTTGAGAGAAACAGGTATGTTTAATATTGTAACTGTTTTCCAAAATGACGACATATTTCACATATTTCGTCAACTTGATGTTGTCTATTTGTTGTTGTAGTGAGGACAAATAAATTGCCAAGAACAAGAAACCTTTCTAAACAAACTTTGAGTGCAATGCAAACATGTTTCGCCTTCCCAAGGCTCATCAGTGCAGCTAGGGTTTCCCAATAAAATAACTGAGAAAACTGCAGACATGTTTTGGGTTTTTGATGTTTTTTTGTGTCAGAACAAACAAATAATATCAACAGTGATCAGTGAAGTCAGGTAGGGAATGTGGATTCCAGGTATTTTCTTTTATTTCCTTTTTATACTTCTCAAGAAGTTACGCTCCAAGCAGTCCGAACAAAACCAATCTCCCTCAGGTTCAGCTTTCAGGTTCACACATGACAAATGAAACCACTCAAAGGGCTTGTTGGGACAGTCTTCAGAGTCACAGCCAATCATAATACCGCCTTTTGCACCATGACAAACACAGAACAGTTCCAGGTTTTCCTCAGATGTGTCCAGTCCAGGTGAGGGTTTGGAGGACTTTGATACAGCTGCTGTCTTAGCCTTGGACTTTGATGTCTTCTCTTTTGTAGCTGGTTTTGGCTTGGTCACCTTTCTATTTGTAGACTCAGACTGTCTAAGGGGCTTCTTCTTCGTTGATTTCTTAGCCGCAGATGAGATTGTCTCCTCTTCACTTAAACTGTATAATTTACCAACAAGTTCCGGAAGAATGACTGTGGCAAAACATCTTGACGATCGATCCAGTAACTTGTTCCACACATCGCTGTTGGGCTCAATCCGTTCAATGAAAATGTCTTTTGGAGTCCATACAACAAAATCACAGTAGTCTACATCAGCAACATGGATATGCGTCTGAACCTGGGAGTAATATGCATGGGTTTCCTTGAGTTTAAGTCCTGCACTGTTATTCTCAAGACAAGATCCTTTCTGAGCTCTGACATTCTCATCTCTCATGCAATATAGACACTTCACTTCAAGACATCCTCTTCCACAACAGTCACATTCAACTATGCCATCTGGAGAAGCGCCGAGATGAGGATAGTCTTTGTTGAGAAACAGTCCACAAGGTTGGGTCTTGAAATTAACATGATTTTCCAAGGAAATATCAGAGTAGTGTCTCCTTGCAACATCTTCATGATCACAACCCCATTGCATAGCAGCATTTGTAAATCTGTGTTCATGTGGATAACAAATCTGTTTTACCAGGCTGTATGATGGTTTCTCACATGATGTCGCACAAGCAGCTTTTATCCTTGAAGATGTTATTCGACCTGTCCTGAACCGAAACCACAAGTTACAGTCAGCTTGTTGCCTGGTAGCTGCCTCAACATTGATGGCTTCTTCCTCTGTAAAGGCAATACTGGGAAGTAGTGTACCGCAATGTTCCACTAGATCGTCACGAGACATTCCTTCACACTTGTCATCCCTCAGTTCAGATAACACTTTGGGGTACTTGGCCTGAAGACTAGTTGGCACATAGTCTGCGCTATATTCTTTCTTCACTGCCAAACAAACTGGTTTGTCTTCCTTCAGTGTCTTGAAAAAAGTGTCATACCGTGCCTGGGAAATGTTCACTGATAGCTTCTTCGCTGAGGTCTCATCCCTAATTACTTCAGTGTGGGTCGAATCAATTTGTTTATCAATTTGTTTTTTAAGTGTTTTTGCTGATGTAAAATCAATCTCACGTAGTGGAGCATACTGAACACTTGTCTTTGAAGCAGGTAACATCCAGTAGGCAGGTTTCTGAGTCACTGTACTGGCCTCTCTCATCCTGACTGTTGCCTCTACATAAAACAAAACTGATGCCACGTGAGAACAACTCTCTCCCAATCCTGCCTTACAGTCACAGTGAGCTGACGTTACCTTAGATTGCTTATCCGTGATTATCCAGGGTGTCAAACTTCGGTCAGATAATTTTTGAGAATGCATGACTCTTGCCTTGATAACACGATGTCCACTGGGCTGATGCAGATAAACAGAAACGTCACGAACCCATCCACAAACAAACCGGTCATAGCTGTCAAGACTCTTGTAATTTTGAAAGTCCTTCAATGTGTAAAATGGGCTGGGTTGAAAAATTAAGTAATTCACCAAGTCCGGGTATGAAACTTCTGGGAAGATGTCGTGATCTCTACTCCACTCAGACGTGTCGATCTGGTGAGGATCTTCACCACCAATTACAGATATTTTCTCCTTGTAACGGGTAAAAGCCTTCTTGTCTAATGACTCGGAATACTTCTCCATGCTACAAATCAGGTGAACAGTTATTTTCCACTGAATACTTCGGAAATATCACGTCTGTACTGGTAAGCGCTGTAATGTGAGAATGACTCTGCAAACAAAGCCTTCCAAAATGGCCGACCGTAAGGCCTTGTGGGATACTGTTACTATTTTTAGTAAAAAGGACGAAGCCCTCTATTGAGAGGTCATCGGTTATCCAATCAAATCGTTAGAATTTCAGGTCAAGTCGTTACGACACAGGTCAACGCGATACGACACTCGTGTGACGTACGAGATTAATATGCAACTACCCATACGTTGACCACGTGGGTAATAAATGGTATTATGAGCAGCGATCCACAACGCCAGCTACGATGAAATTAGTCAATTTGAGCTGGACCACCTG